AAAAAATAAACATTGAGCAATCTCCACGCTGGGACTGTAAAAAAACAACACAGCACAGAAACATAACCCCCCCCCTTAGCTGAAACCCACCCTGCAAAACCCACCCAGAAGTTTCTAAAAAGAAAAAAGCAGCACTTTACCAGGCAGACTGAAGCCTCCTCTGATGGCACTCACTCTCCAGCGGGGCGCCACTTCCTGCGCCACCGCCACCATATGCCCCATCCACAGAGGAGGCCCTCCCACCCCCACACATCAGCCCAGCGCCTTTGGCGGGCCTTACTCGTGAGTAGACCCATGGCAGGGAGCACCTGCTTCCTGCACCCGGCAGCAATCCGAAACTGCCCTGCCTCTCCTTCCTCCTCCTGACCCGCAAGAGTAAAAAAGTTCCCTGACCCCTTGCTCTAACTGTTGGGGGTGAAAGAGCTACAAAGAAGCACCCTCTTCACCACCAACGGTTTGAATCGCCCGACCTTTTTCTGTTCTTAGGTCGAAGCTCCGGTTGCAAGTTGAAGCAAAATTTTGTGGCTGGAGCTTTTCATAACTCAAAATGTTCGTAGGTAGGGGCATTCGTAAGTTGAGGCACCACTGTATTTAGTTCATTTAGATATGGAACTGTGGAAAGCTAATACTTCACCTTTGGGGATTTTGCAGAGTCAGTGATCTGAAGGTTGGCGCATTAATTGGTGTTGATAAGTATGGGAACAAATACTATGAAGACAAAAGATTCTTTTTTGGTGAGTATCTGTACTTGAAAAAATAGAGCCTTTTCTTCTGAAGAAGCTAGCAAATGATTTCTACTGCATATTGGTTCCTCCCCTAATTAAGCTGGGTATCAAGCAGAAGACTTAGCAGTGGTAAGAAGTCCCTATAAATTGTTGTCACAAAGTAAATGTTTTTGCATGTAGATATGTGATCCTATTTTATTCTGTCAAAATATGTCAAGGTGTAGAGTAAGTCAATATTATTCATGATTTTGGATTGGCCTGTAACAGTTCTGGTTTTTATTATGTATTTCCTATTGATTTCCTATTACAGTACTGGCTTGTTTATTATCCTGTCAAGTGACACTTGTTTACTGGGTCCTCTTCAGTTAGCTAACTTTTGCATTTAAAAATCAAACTCTAGTTGCAGGGAAACGACTAGAGACATAGGATTACATGGATAAATTACAGTACATGGATATGATGTACAGTAGTTATTTTGTTTGTTTAGAGCAGGTGTGAGCAATGTGCAGTCCTTTAGATGTTGTTGGCCTGAAACTTAGAGTATTTCTTTCCATTGACTGTCCAGGCTAGCACTGATGGGAATTGCAGTTGAGTAACATCTGGAGAGCTGCATTTTGCCTGTTCCCAATCTGGTAGTTATGGTATGTCTGGATTTTTTGGGGAAAACATTGCTACATTAATGGAAATTATATGTCAGTATTGAAACTTATGGATAATTGTGGTGATGACGTTTAACTTGTTCCAAATCCAGATGTGTTAGATATAGTTCCATAGTTCCATAGTTTTCACACTGGCATTTATTTATTTATTCATTTATTCATTCATTCATTCATTCATTTTTATTTATTTATTGCCCAATGACTCTAGATGATTTACAAGTTAAAGCATTGACATCTTAAGCAACTTATATCTGTCAGTGGCCAGTACTGCTGGGACTAATCATCATCATAAGAATACTGAAAGTGATTGGAAAAAAATCCATAATATAATTTTTTCTGTCCAGACAAATTAAAAGATTGGCTTCTCTGGTAATATTAAAATTTGGGAGCCTCAGATAGCTCATTCCTTGTAATTGATAGCAGTTCAGAATTGGTAATCAAAAAGTTGCTAAGTTATTGGTTTCTACCTTGTTTCTACCATATTAAGAAGTGTTTGAATGATGCATTTTGAGGTAAATCAATGTACAGCTTCCATATGATTTAGAATAGAATATGACAATGTCAAATTTTCTTTCGGTGGATCAGGGAGAGAAAGTATGTTCCTGGACCACAAATATGTTAAAACACAGTGGTTTGCCATATGTTTAGTGGTATTCATATCCATGTGTTGTAGCAGAACAAGCACTTCACAAGTCACCATATACACATGTTTTTCTATATTCCTCTATGTAGTATTTGCAATTAAATCTTTATTTTATCTTCTGTTGATGCTTCTCATTGCCTTAGCTTCCTTGTTTCCATGCCTTTTGCTTCCCGAAAACAAGGGTCTTGCACACAGAATAAAGAATAATAGAACATTTTGACTTAATGAGATTTATACATGTCTCTCTTTTATTTGATCTAATATACTTTGGGTTTGCTTTTTGTGTTTTTTCTTTTGCCTGTTAAGGTCGTCACAGGTGGGTCATATATACTGACAAAATGAATGGCAAAGATACATACTGGGAAGTGGATGCAACCATGGTGCCTCCTGAATGGTAAATCAGTTAGTTTATTGCATGCATGTTTAAATATTTTATTCAGTTTGTGAACCAGTGAACTTCAAAGAGAATTGACTCATCTGAATGGATTGTTGTGCTCTGTTCTTTTTAAATGTGGTGTTTCTGTTTAATTTATTTACTGGTTTTAATTATTTTAAAATATTTATATACTTACTGTTTTTCGCTTTTAAATATTGTCTTTTTAATGATGTAAGCTGTCCAGGATCTTTAAGGAGAAAGATGGGGTAAAAATTAGATGATAGATAGATAGATAGATAGATAGATAGATAGATAGATAGATAGATAGATAGATAGATAGATAGATAGATAGATAGATAGATAGATAGATAGATAGATAGAGTTGACATACAAAAGCAAAGTAATTAAAATGTAAGCCTCTTAACAGTCTGTTATCCTCTAATCTTCTGCCAATAAACACACTTCATCATTTCTAGGATAGAATACACATCAGATACTACAATTATACTTTGAAAAAGGCAATTTATGTACTCAAACTAGACACTATGATAAATGTGCATTTGCTGCTCACAAATCAAGACCAATGTCTGTTTCCTGTTTCTTTTTGCTCTTGTGAGTTTATTTATTTATTTATTTATTTTTGGACTTATATACCGCCCCATAGCGCTACAAGCACTCTCCGGGCGGTTTACAATTTAATTATACAGGCTACACATTGCCCCCCCAGCAAGCTGGGTACTCATTTTACCGACCTCAGAAGGATGGAAGGCTGAGTCAACCTTGAGCCGGCTACCTGGAATTTGAACCCCAGGTCGTGAGCACAGTTTTAGCTGCAGTACAGCGTTTTAACCACTGCGCCACGAGTGAAATGAATGATTACATTTTGTGCTTGGTCACTGGTCTCTGAGCCCCCAGCAGCAAAGAAATCTAATGCTTTTGTCAGGATTCCTGTACTGATTCTCATCTAGAAGTGCTTGAGATCTCCTTATAAATTAAGTCATGCTATTACGCATGTATCAAAGCAGAGCATTGATGCACTGTTGCTGCTGTTGAGTAGGTCTGGGAGTGGTCAGTGTTGACTAGGAAGCTGCTTGGGATGCCTGGGTACATGGCCACAGAATAAGTAGAGGAAGTGTAAGATGCAAATATAATAAATGTCATCTTACCTCCCTGTTTCCTTAACTAGGTATTACTGTGAGAAGTAGAACTAACAGTTGTTGTTTTCCATGGTGCAAACACATTTGTCTTGTAATTCTGTTATATACAGATTAGGAGTTTTTTTCTGTTACAGACCAATAAGCTAAATTACAGAACAAAAAATTTATTTTTAATTCATTTTTTTCTGCTAATAACAACCCAGACAGGGTGTCAGCTATTGTCTGTCTCTTATCAGCTCTTCTTATAGGTAGCATGTTTGACATGTTTTTGCTGATGTCCTTTTTGGTAGTTCCACAATTATGATAGAAGGAAGTATTGAAGTTTCAAAAGGAGAAAAATAGATGACAAAATTCTGAACTTTAGGATAGGATTACTGCCAGTTGTATCATGTTTCTGCCATTTATGCTTCAGCTGTTCAGTTTTGCTCCAGTTTGTGCAAAAATAAAAATGAAGCTCCTTGCTACCTTCATTTGATAGTACAAAGAAGAAATATAAGATGGATTGCGGTCACATCATAGGCCATAGAATGCTGTGGTGCTCAATTGCCCTTTCCATACAATCTCTGTCTCATAAAATCTATTTGTAGCAGAATCCCTATGCTAAATAATCAGTCACTGCAGGGGTAGCTACCAGTAAGAACAGCTCTTAAAGGGGATTAAACAAATTTATGGAGGATAAAGCTATCTGGGACTAGCAATCATGCTGGCTAGAAAGTACCTCCATGATCAAAGGCAGTGTACTCCCATATGTATCAGTTGCTTGGGAACACAGATGGGATGCTGTTGTTACACTCATGTGGGCTTTCCATTGGTTGTCCACTATGGAAACAATGCTGGTCTAGGTAAGCCTTTGATCTGATCTAACACAGCTTTTCTCATGTTTTACTTAAATTGGACTTCTATCCCTAACTGGGTATGTCAGTGGTTGTTTTTTATGTATATGGGTGCTTGGCTGTTTTCTGGCATCAGACCTATTCTGCAGCTGAGCTTATAGTCATATTTTTAATTCTCAATAGACAGCTTTATCTCTTTCAATTAATTTCTGCTGCCATAATATCATTTAAAATTATGCATCATAAATCATGCACATACTTAGGCCAGTGCAGTACAGAGATGTAAAATGTTTTTGACAGGGAGATCTTTCTAGAAATTGAATTTAACTGTAGTGTGCTCAATATTTTTATGTAGCAATAAATACAGTGGTGCCTCGCTTAACGATTTTAATTGGTTCCAAAAAATTCATCGCTATGGGAAAACATCGCTAAGCGAAACGCGTTTTCCCGTAGAGATGCATTGAAAACCGGATAATCTGTTCCAATCGGAACGGGTTGCCATCCTTAAGCGAAAATCGCCATAGGAAACATCGCTAAGCGAAAAGCCGTTCCCCCATTGGAATGCATTGAAACCTTTTCAATGCATTTCAGTGGGGGAGAAAAAAAATCACCAAAAAGTGAAAAAGAGTCAGAACGAAGCCAAATTTGGTTAACAAATGGTTTATTAAGTGCACTAACGATTTCAAGCACTCTAAACCCTTTTAAAACAATTTAACACATTTTAAAAATAGCGAAAACGGAGCTGTCAAAAACATCGCTAAGCGAAACAGGGGGACCTAAACTGTCATCGCTAAGCGAAGCAAGGGACCGAACATCGCTATGCGAAATTCCCCCATTGGAAACATCGCTAAACGGAGCGCAAGATCGCTCCTAAAACCTCATCGCTAAGCGAATACATTGTTAAACGAGGCAATCACTAAGCGAGGCACCACTTATTAAAGAAAAATTCCACAGAGGTTACACCCAAGCTTTTCTAACTCTTGGAACACTTCAGGTAAATTTCAGCGTAATGTTTTAATGAACTTATTCACCAAATGGCCAGGCACTATAGCATTTGACAGCACTACTGTGGTGTTTGGAAGAAGAAGGGAGGTTTTGGCTTCAGTTTCTCCACTCCCAGCAGCATCTGTCTCATTTATTCTGCTCACATTACCAAAAAGAGAAAGAGGAGATTCATTCATGTGGTTATAGGAGTTCCTTTCTAGCAGCTTTGATGTATACAAATTACAAATAGAATGCTTAGTCTCTTTAGGAAATGTCCCTCATTCTGACATGCAATGTTGTGATTAATAAGTATTGAGACTTAAAAGAGTCCTAGTTTCTATTTAATTTTTTCTGGTTTTTTTCCATTTACTATGAGTTTCATTAGTCAGTCATGGTTTACTTTTTAATCTGTGTGTTTTGGGACATGTTTATTAATTTTAATTTATTTTTAAGGCATCGTTGGCTTCATTGTATGACAGATGACCCTCCGACTACACATCCACCAGTGGCTCGAAAATTCATCTGGCAGAATCACAAATTCAATCTTACTGGTACTCCTGAACAGTATGTACCTTATTCTACTACCCGTAAGAAAATACAAGAGTGGATCCCTCCTTCTACACCTAATAAGTGAAAGGAAACAACATACTGATTTGTGAATAATTGCACCTACAGTGTGAACTGTATCTTCCTGCTGTGTTTAAAATAAAAGCTTTCAACAGATTAAAACAAAACTGTGAGCAGTGGATGGCCAGAAATAAAATACACAATAAATTATCAAAGTAAATATGTATGGAATCTTTCTGTCAAAAGGAGTATTAGTATAATATAGACTTTCATGAACTGAAGTCTGCTTCATCAAACTGAAAAACTCACAATGCAATAAATCATTCCCAAGGTGTTGCAAAACTTTTATTGTGTTCTCTCTGCAACAGACGTAGCGTTGCTGTCCCTTTGGAAACCTTTTGAAGATACTGAGCCATATTTTGTCTGGTATTATTTACTCTTGAAAGTGTTTTTAAATCTAGGACTATTATGGATCCTTTCCCAAGTTTTTACTATTGGAAACATTTAAGTTTTATTTCTGAATAACAGTACATCATAGCCTGAAGAAGAAGACAATTACCTTTGGTTGTTGTGGGTTTTTCGGGCTCTTTGGCTGTGTTCTGAACACGGCCAAAGAGCCTGAAAAACCCACAACAACCATTAGATCCCGCTGTGAAAGCGTTTGCGAATACAATTACCTTTATTTCTAATAGATATGGCAGTCTTGAAGTGCAGGGCATTAACTGCTGAAAATTAGCTCTGTTCTTTTAGAAATTACCTGGATGAAGAAATAACAAATTTTTGTTTTTCTGTTCTTAGTGAAACCTGTAAGTTCTACCTATATACCACTGTTGTTTGTAGATTCATTGTTTCCTGATGTAACAAAGCAGTTGAAAGACCAGACTACAAACTATGAAGTCTCCTGGTTGGAAGCTTACCACTGCCATGAGTTCAGAGTTGTTCTTCAGCAAACAACCGGCCTCAACCCTTTTCTCCCACCTATAATAAGAAAAATAAAATTTTCTTACCTTTAAAGGGTTGTTGGAGGAGTTACAACTGGACTGTGCATATAAATCAGTTTTTAACAATTGAAAGGACTAGTGAGATTAAGAGCCTGCATACGCTAGTATTTTTGTGAAGATATTAAAATACTGTTATTAACTTGCTACTCTGCATGTTCATTTGAAAGTGAGACTTTATCTCATGTATAGATAGAATTGCAGCTTTGCATTGTATCATTCTAGTCAAATATTTGCCCTTCTGACAGATTATGGTCTGCATGTAAGGTTTTAATGACTAGGAGAATCTGAATTTGTGCATAACATTTGAAACTGGTCTGTTTTGGATTAACCACAGTTTAGAATTCAGGCATTTGAAACCGTATCAATTTTGAATTAACCACAGTTTAAAATTCTAGGATGTTAAACTATGGTTAATTTTAACCACTACTAAAAGCAAAAGTCTTGGCTTAAAGCTGGATTGTTTCCACTAATTGTAGCTAAGAATAACTATAGTTTGTAGTTTGGACAACTTAACAAACTGTGGTTAGCCTAGAATGAGCCAGTTTAAATCCTTGTCATAGTCATATGTGGGAAGGGCAAGAGCGTCTGAACCAGAGTTACACTGTTCCTTATTTTTACAAACTAAACTATTCATCTAGTATGGGGTGGACAACCTGTGGTCTTCCACATGTTGCATTGCGGCTACCACCTGCCTTCATTACTGGTGTACCGTCAACTAGAGAGACACATTCTCATTTAGTATTACATCAGAACCAGCCCTTAATCTCTATTAAATGCCATTTGGCAAAAATTATGATTGCCTGTTTGGAACCTAGGTTTGCTTGAGCTGTCTAATAGAACAGAAGAGTAAGACTTTTCTTCTTAGATCTAGCCCTCTCCTTACAGTGGGAGGGCATTGGAAGCACCTGGAGGAAATGGAAATGTCACAAATTACCAGTATCACTGAAAACAAGTAGTCATTCCCCGAACTGTTGGAAGAAATGGTTGCAGCTACTGCTGAGAATAGCTTAACAGGAGTAATTAGATTATGGTTAATTGGGAAGAAAATGGTTTGTCTTGATTTTGGAAGCAGGTATGTGCCATGTGTCTGTCATGAGCCACACTATGTTAAATAGCATGAATTGGGAGTTCAGAATTGCTTTCCAGAAATATGCTGACATGAAAAAAATGTTTAGGCATACCTTTTCTTTAGCTTATAGCAGAAAAATCAGAATTAATATTGATTTATAGGTTATTACACATGGCTGTAAATCAGTTAATAAAACAATGTTAGGTAGCTTCTAACTTTATGTATTCATAAAGCATCTGATACTATTTCAGCAGCTTTTCCTAGAAATATTATCAGCATTCTTGCAAATATAGTTTTGCAGACTCCTTATAAAGAACCAGTATTATACTGGTTCAAACATCATAGATGCAAGTCATTTTGGTTCTCAGATTGCAGATGGGATTAGGCAAGCAATTCACCTTTTTTGGTTCTGTATTTATTATATAAAGAAACACCAGGTAACTACTCTGAAATTGACAGAGTATATATAACAGGCTCCACAGAGCCTTCCAATGGTTCTGGAGATCGCGATCTGTCAGCCGCTCTTTGACCTGGCAGAGAGGCTTGTTGTCCCACCTGCTTCCAGGAGTGGCGAGCTGATCACGATCTCCGGAGCCATTGGAAGGCTCTGCTGAGGTTGTAGCAGCAGCAGAATTGTGAGAGGACCGCCCGGCCCCACGGGGCTGGACTCTCGTTATCATCACCTGTGCGGGGATATTCATATACGAATACCCCCATCTCTATTTGTTACCCCATGATGAAATTTATCTGAGGTCCAAATACACACCTTATTAAGGATAGTTCTTAGCTAAAGAACTGTCAAAGTTCTCCAAAAATTGTTATGCTGCCAAGTGCAGGCTTATTAAGAGCAATTAAGAAGGAATTTAGAGGTGTCTGTTGCAGTAACATTCAAATATAGCTGATGTAACAGGAAGACCAAATAATATCTGAATTTTAAGTATTATCATTGCCTTCAATAAAGAACTTAAGAAGAAGTAAACATGAATACAATCAGTAATGCTTTGGTAACATAAAAAGAAAATCACTTCATATTAAATAGGCAGATACCATTCTATCTGTCCAATAAAGTTGGTAATTTTAAAATGTCCAGCTTTGTAACCAAATACTCTTTTAGGAAGATAAGGCACGAAACAAGAAGTCTCTTAAAACTGATTTTTAAAAAAACTTAAGTTAGTCTATTACACACAAAACAATGCTTCATTCAGTCAAGGGGTTAGAAAAGACTGCAGTAGCACAATTCCTTTTAAAGAGAGGTAGATGGAATTAAGATAACTTTTAAAAAAATTATTTTTCAAACAGACAACTTTCAAATAATATGATACCTGTAATTCAACATTAAACAGGACATATATTCCTGTTTAGGACTAGATTTTGTGCATGAGCAACATTGATAAAGGTGGGAAAGGTAGGGACGAAAGGTGGAAGTGTATGAAGATCACTGGCATCACCCATTGTTATGCTTTAAGAGAAAACGTAGTCTCAACTTGTGTGTAAATGTTTATATACATGTGCATTCAAATGTCTATACAAGTCAGATCTCAACAGTTATTGATAAAAGGTGAGTTCATATGCTACCTAAGCATGTACCTCATCTGACCATTAATTCATCTGTGATGTAGAAGATAAGAAGTGATGTAGTGGCCATTATATGAACTTTAGAACACCAAGGGAAAAGTCTTAAAATCATTGTAATAGACCAAGAGCAAGACAATAAACTATTATAATTCTCCAAACACCAAGGGAAAAGTCTTAAAATCATTATAATAGACCAAGAGCAAGACAATAAACTATTTGGCCAGAATCCTACTTGGAATGTGCACAAGGGAAATTGTGTAAGTTGTGGCAATGAGTTACTAATTAACAAAATGTTTTTAGTATTTCTGGTCACACTGTGGGCATGAGGCCAGGAACACAATCATTATGCTGTTAATGGGTAGCATTTCACTGTTTCAATTTGTACATGCATAAATTGACTATAGGATGTCAGCCATTGTCTTTTCTACTTGGTGCATTTCATGTGTTCTCGGGACATGACATACAATATCTCAGTAATCCCTGCAACAATTCTCTGAGGTAGGGCAGCATTGTGTCTATGTTGCAGCTGAAGATAATAGTCTTACAGTTAACAGCAGTTAAATCAGGGAATAGGAGGAATGTGCAGGACAGTAAAAATATTATAAAAGTACACTAGGACTATGATGCCAACCCTTGAAGACATCAGAAAACCTTTTATCTCTTACCTATGAACTGTTTGGGTTATCTAATGAGAACAAAATTGCTTTTAGATTGATCTATTATATTTCCAAACTGCAGTGATCTTTACTGACCATTTAGCATGAACTGACCACAAATGCCTTGCAATTCTCTTAGGATTGTAGGATTGTTCATATGACCACATAGTCACAGTATGGTACCAGATTAATTGGTCTCATTCTCTTTAAAATCTCTTATGTAGGAATAAAATGATCTTTTACTGTAGGCTCAAGATAGCTACAATAGGTAGTCTTGCATTCATCTTAAGGAATGTATTATGGTTAAAAGTTTACAATTTATCTGTGCATTTGAAGTGACTGAGCGGTGCTCAGCAGTAGTTTTATTATGTCCAAATGTTCATCTATTTGTTGCACACAGCATGATTTTAATCACACTGTATAATTAAGCACTAAGAACCAGGTATGAATAATTGTGCATCAGCATTTGCCTGTGGGACCCGTTGAACAGATGAGCAGAATACTGAGAAGCAGTAGAGCTGAACAAAAACATGTTGTGGGTATGTGCTAATTATCTCATACACATAGAAAATAAATTCATTTGTACATTATTTCATGTTTTTCAGTTCACTCGGCACTTCCCAACACCTCTGCACTTACTGCAACTAGCTGCTAGATTTTATCAGAAGTGCTGTGTTACAGCTGCTCACTTCCAAAATCCGTGTTGCACTATTTTCATTCAGCTGACAAAAGGAATACAAATGTACAAGTTTTTCAGTTTGCTTCTCTCTTGCAAATGCTCCATATATTGTCTATCTGCCTTTGAACTCCACTTTCATCTGGTCCTTAGAATATGTGCTAATATATATTCCTGTGCTGATTGAAGGAAGCTGAGTGCTGAAATCTGACCTATCTGGAGGGCATAAATTTCAAGAAGGTTGAGTTAGAAGACTCCTATTTTCCACAGGTAAATCTGGCCTTCAGTCACAACTGTGACTTTCTGTGGAGCTTTGCTTTGCTAAAGTGCCATATCAAATGTATTTATTATATATTTCCAATGTCTGTCTTCTGCAATTATACTCAAGGCAATGTAGAAAATGTCCCCAGGTCATCTTTCCAAGAGATCTACTTTGTTCACTTGCTGGCGGTCACTGATTGAACCCAGTGTGGTGTAATAATACTGAATTGCAGTTTAGAAAGACTGAGGTTTAAGTTTCCAATAAGCCATGAATCTTACTGGGTGACTATAGGCAAGTCTCTGCCTAATTGGGTTGTTGTAAGAATGAAGTGGGGGAGGAGGGGAGCCATGAACAAAATCCTGAGT